CAACATAAGAGTACGTGGGGACACAATTCAGCCAATAAGTCACAGTCTTAGATGCTAAGAGTTAAGATGTGTACATACTTCAGGAAAGAACAAATAAATGCAGTTTAGAAATTGTTTTGTTTTGTCCTGTAACATTTTCAATGATTCCTCTTCCCTCTCTTTTTGCTTGTACAATTTCTAATAAAAAGTTTACCCTCATTCTTACATGGGTAAGATGTTTTTCTCCCTGGATTTTTTCAAGATTTTACCCATGCTTTTTGTTTCTGAACTTTGACTCTGTTATATCTATGTACACAGTTTTGGCACTTATTCTGACTGATATTTCCTTGCCTGAATTTCTTGTACTTGTGATTTGATGCTTGTCATTAATTTTGGGTATTTCTCATCCACTATTTCTTAAAATATTTCTTCTGCTACATTTTCTTTCTCTCTTTTTAGTATGCCTATTACTTATCTATATACTATATGAAATTGGCTCAAATTTCTTAAATGTTCTTTTAAGTGTGCCAATCGTTTGCTTGTCATGTCTTGATGGCTGCTAAACCTATCAAAGTTTTAAATTACAGTGTTTTTAACTGAAAGCATTACCTTTGATTGTTTTTGCTCCTTTTATCTGCTTATATTATACCAATCAACATTACGTTTTCTACTTTATGATTAAAGCCTCTAACATATTAATCATTATTATTAAGACTGCGAGTCTGCAGTTGAAAGAGGATACCAGTAGGAAGCCAGAGAGCTAACAAAGAGGGTGAATCAGGATTAATATAGTTGAAGTAGCTTCTTTGCATGTATAAAAATAGAACAAGAAGCCAGGCACCAGTGGCTCATGCTTAGAAGTGTAGCTGCTGGGAGGAGTGGAGGATTTAAGTTCCAAATCAATACAAGCAGAAAAATCTCTGTGAGTCTCAAATCTCCAAAATAACACGCAAAATCAGGGCTGAAGCATGGCTCAAGTAATAGAGCACCAGCTGAGCAAGTAAGCTAACTGAGCTCAAACCCTTAAGTTCAAACTCTAGTTCGACAAGCACATCAAAAAAAGAAAAAAAAGAACAAAAATTAGAACAATAAAACTTCTTGAAATTGTTTTAGTAGGGAGAAAAGGGGGAGTAGGAGTCAGATGAGGAAGAGTGTTAAGGGGAATGGACTTACCCTGGACATACTGTGTACATGTGTGGGAATGTTACATTGAAGGCTCCCTTGAACTAACATGCTCATATAGAAAGATTCTGGTAACTCCAACATCTCTCTGAGGCTGGTTCAAATAACTGTTTCGTTTCTCCAAAGTGTGTTCTTCCAAGGTTGCTTTGCAACTTGTGTTGAAAGGTGGACATAATGTATCTTGCAATAGGATCTGAGGTAAGTAAGTCTTTACTATGTGCAGCATTTACTCTGGCTGAGTAGTGGGCTGTGTTTAATGTTTGCTCTAGCTGTAAGGGCCAGATGCTTCATATTGTTCTCCTGTTCTTGCTTTGTTTAGTATTCTTGTTCACTATTATCAGTATAACCTAGAGCTTCCTATTTTTTTCAATGTCTCAATAATATCCTTATTCATTTTGATGCTCAAATAGTTCTTCAAACTAGTTCGTATTCTTTTAATGTTTCTATTAACTGTTAAAAGGCTATCCCCTTGCCCTCTGGTAATATTAAAATGTTCTGCATTAATCTTTTATTTGTTTTGTCCCCACACTGGAGAAGCAATTATTTCACCAAAAATCTCTGGTTCTTCCAGTGGGACCTAGTAGAAAACAAAATATAAATGGTATGTATCCTCATTGCTATAGAGATAAATTTTTGAATCTAGACACGTGTTGTTTAGTTTGATAGCCATTACCCACATGTAGTTATTTAGATTTAAATAATAAAATTAAGTGAAAAAATCATTTCCTTATTGCATGAACAGTATTTCATGTGTTCAGTAGATATGGCTGTCTAGTAGCTATCATACTGGACAGCATACATATACACCTAATTTGAATCATTACAAAGTTAAGTGAATGTCACTGCTCTAGATCCTTCATGTAGATGAACATGAAACATATACAAGCAACATTCCTTTTTTTGTTATCTCTTAAATATTTTCTTATGTTCCAAAACAAATTATATAATATAGTAGCTATGATTATAATATAGTAGCTATGATTTATTGACACACTGCAATTTAACAACATTGCAATATTAAAAACTTGCAGTTTAAATAGATGTCAGAAAATAAACTGATTGCTCACATTATCCTGTTGATATTTTACATAAATTATCCCATTACAATATTTTAACAATATCTGAAAAACCACCTAAAGTATTAAAACAGATTTTCCCCATCAGAACACTATGGTATATTTTAGGTAGACAATTCTACTTATGACTATAGGATCACAAAAGTACATTTCAAGAATGTTACTTATCTATTGCTTACAGTAATTTTAAACAAAAATCATTTAAAAAAAAAAACATGTACCTTATAAAAGCTATAAAGAATTAATCCATAATTTCACATATGTAAAACTTTTGTAAAATGTGAAATAAGTATCTAAAAGAATATTTTTGTGCCAGGCGCCGGTGGCTCACACCTGTAATCCTAGCTACTCAGGAGGCTGAGATCTGAGGATCAAGGTTCAAAGCCAGCCCGGGCAGGAAAGTCCGTGAAACTCTTATCTCCAATAAACCACCAGAAAACTGGAACTGGAGCTGTAGCTCAAGTGGTAGAGTGCTACCTTGAACAGAAGAGCACAGGGACAATGCTCAGGCCCAGAGTTCAAGCCCCACGACCGACAAAAAAAAAAAAAAGAATATTTCCAAGTTGCATGAGTTGTACTAATTAATTCTATCCAACTTATAAAATAGTAAAATAAGTCTTCTATTTAAAATGAATTTCTTAGAATTTACATTACTATTTACGTGAGATTTCTATAAAGGAAATCTTAAAAGTTGAGTTTTATATAAATATATTCAGTTAATGGAGTAAAAATAAAAACCAACTAATATTAAATAATAACATCAAGGAGAACTTCTTTTCTTTGATATATAGTATTAACAAATCTAAGCTAAGCACCAAAAATCCTAGCTATTTAGGAGACTGATATCAGAAGGATCGGTTTTAAGCCAACCCAGGAAAAAACATTCATGAGATCTCAACAGAAAAAGTTTAGCATCTAGGTAGGGCAAGAAATATAAATAGAAGAATGCAGTCTAGACTGTTCCAGTGGAAAAAATAGCCAGGACAAAAAAGACTGGGGGTGTAGCTTAGTGGAAGAACTCCTACAATGAAACCTGAGGTTTAAATCCCAGCACCCATCTGAATCAGAAAAAAAAAAAAAAAAAGAATCTGCTGTCTATCCTATAAGAGATTCTAGATTTAGTTTCTAGCATTAAAGAATGGAGAAAAGAGGAGACAAAAAGAAAAGAAAAAGAAACAGAAATGGAGAGGAAAGAAATCCAAAGAAGTAGGAAGATATGTCATACAGCAAGAACTGGAGATAGTTTATTTTGTCCTTGCCAACATATTCAGTGGTATACTAAAAGAAGTAAAGCCATCTTTTCTTTCTACAAATAAAAGTATGCTTTTAAAAATGACTGCATTCAATAAAGCATATTTTTCTTATACAAGCACAGATATGAACACCTAAAATTGCAGCGTTTATGTTCAAGAACAAAGAAAATGTACACTCACCAGCATTAACAAATATCAAATCTAAAAATGAGAACAGTATCTCTTCTTCTAAAATAACAGCTGTGCATATTTTCTTTACCTGAATAAATATACATCAAATACATAGTATATTTGTTTTCTTGACTATTTTTAACAGTATAGTTTTTAAATCACCTTAATATTTAATTTCTATTAAACAAAATGACAAAATAGTTTTGTTTTTTTAAGTGGGGGTTTGGGCGTCGGGTACAGTGATGCAAGCTACATAGGAGATAGAAATAGGAAGATCCTGGTATGGTCAGCAAGAGAAGAAAAGTTATTGAGATCTTGTCTCAAAGAAAAGCTGGGTGTGGTGGTTCACATCAATAATCCTATTGTAATTCTAGCAATTGAAGAAGTAGAGAGGTAGGACCCCAGCCCAGGGAGGAACTACAGATCCTACCAGAAAAGCAACTAGAAGCAAAAGGAACTGGGACCATGGTTCAAGTGGTAGAGGGATTGCTTAGCAGCAAGGCCTTGAATTCAAACCCCAGAATGGTGGGGGAGAGCTAGAGACAGAGAAAGAGAGTGAGAGGAAGAGAGAGAGGGGAGGAAAGGAGACCAGGGGAGGGAAAGAGAGGAGGGGAGGGAAAGGAGGAAAAGGAAAGGCACAAAAGAGGAAGAGAGGGGAAGGGAAGGAGAGGAGAGAAGACAGGAAGGCAGAAAGGCAGGAAGAGAATGAGGAAGGAGGGAGGGAGGGAGGGAGGGCTGGATTGGGCATGCTTAGCATTCAAGTGGCCCTGGGACAAATTATTAGCATTAACAAGTCTGAATAACGAGGCACCAGAGGCCCATGCCTGAAATCCTAGCTACCCAAGAGGCTGAGAACTGAGAAACTCAGTTTGAAGCCAGTGTAAGCAGGAAAGTCCTTGAGATTCTATCTATAATTCACCACCCAAAAGACTGAAGTAAAACTGTGGCAAAATAGTAGAGCTAGCCTTCTGGAAAAAAAAAAAAAAAAAGCTCAATCAATGCCTAAACCCTGAGTTTTAGTCCCAAAACTACCACCCTCCCAACACATACAAAACAAAACCAGCACCATCAACACCAATAACAACAAAAACCCTCAAATGAGCGATAACAACTTTTATAAAAATCTGGAGATGTGAAAATTTCAAAATGTAATACTATGTTTTAGAAATTATCAAATCTCACTCATAGTCACAATATCTTTTACAATATTTGCAAATAAACTGTAATTTTGTTTTCTATATGTAATTAAACTGAATATCTGTATAATCTAAATCCACTTATACTAGAAAGATATTAACAGTTAAATCTTCCGTTCTTGTTTTCCCAAAGGTGACCTTACCTGAGGAGTCCAATAAAAAGGGGGGCTCAATCTGTAGAGTTTCCGTTTGTGGAAATTCTGAAGTGGCCTTGTTCGAGCTGCTGTACTCGTGACAGTCAAGGATGGAGATTTCAATCTTGTCCTGTCTTTTCTCCTTTTCTTACTGTGCTTCTGATTAAGTAACCAGTTACGGGAGGAAGAGAGCTCATCTAAATTCTCTGAAGCACTGAAATATCATGAAATAATTGGGGTAGGAGGGAGATGAAACAAAAAACAAGAAAGACAAAGAAAACTAAATGTAAATTGCCTTAGTCCATTATGATACAAGAGTATTACTTTTAGCCAATTTTGTGGTTTGATGAAATAATTGATAGCAGTGGAGAATTATGCATTTATGTATTTAAGTTGTATTTATTATGTATGTAAGTTGTAGAAATAATTTCTATTTTCTACTACAAATAAGTATGTCAAAATTCAGGAAGTGCTCACAAGTTCTCTTGTATAATAGCCATGTTCTTTCTAAGTAACTAGTTCAAACACATACATATTACATAGTTTTAATTATTGACATCAAAGTTTTTTGCAATGGGTAAAATAACATAGGATTAAATGCCAGAATGCACTAAAGTCTCATAACTCCATCTTTAGCACCATTTCAGTGAATTCTGAGGCAGAGTGCAATTTTTAGAAATTACAAAAAAAAAAAAATCTGATTTAGAAACTACAACAATAAAGTAAAATAAAAACAATCATATAGCTACACATGAAAATAAGTACAGTTAATAATACTGATTTTAACATTACATTTGCACATTTATTTTCATTTATATTACATAGACAATAAATTTTACAGGCAGTTTTATAAAGTATGGCTTTCTACCTAGATTAAAACTAGTCACTTTAAAATCCTAACATAAACAAGTGATTCTTCTAGATGCAATACTGCTAATCAACATGTAAGTTCTAAATATGATATTTGATTTAAACAGAATTAGTGTTTCCTGATAAACATGACATTTTTCTATAGCAGTAATACTGGTTTTGAATCACATTTTGGTTGTTCTAAGTATTTTTTTTTTTTTTGGTAGATAAAGCAAGTAATTCAAGAATGCTTTTCATATTAATGAGAAATGAGAAATAAAGATGACTGAATGGTTTTAATTACAGAAACAAAAACAAATATACTGTTGTTCTATAGAGGGAGAAAAGCAGATGACAGCCATTTCTGTTTTAGCATATTAAGTCTTCAGAGAAGTCTAGAAAGAATACTTCGTATGTCAAAATATTCTAAAGCTCTTATGTCATGTAATTTGTTACAAAGCATTGATTTGAGGTATAATGCTACTCTTAAATTAACAGATCCAATCTCACATTTTGATATTGTTCATGGTGGCAGCAATAAACACATGGGTCAATGCTACATACAGTTTGCTATTAAAAACCCTGCCATATAGCTGTACTCTTCTGCCAGGAGTCTACAGAAGGCACAGGTAGCCCATATGATCAGGCACTGAGCAAGAAGTTAGGAAGAAGATGAGTTTAATTAAGTAGCAACTATTAAAAGTAATCAAGTGAGAAGGGTGAAAATTTAGGAGATAAGAATAGATCCAGCAAAACAGGTCTGCCTCCAAGTCAGAAACACCTTTAGGCAAAAACTTACAGAGACTCCTTAACTCCCTTCTGAATGAAAAGGACAAAGGTTGAGAACTGGCTAAAGGTGACCGGGTTTGCTAAATTTTAAATTTTCTAAGGTAGGAAAACTTAGAACAAAAAAATAGAGTGTAGTGTTATTCTTTCATGTGTGCTCTCATTTGTAGGTGATTCATCCTCAAATTCTATACTTTCTAACAAATAAGTATTCTTGTGAAGTGTCATCAAAATTCAAACTTCTCAAATAAATGAAAATTTACCGAAACTGGAAATGAGCAATCTGTTTACTTCACTAATAATGTAATAATTACACCATACTCATTAAAGTTAATTTGCTGCATAAAATAATTTTATAAATAATAGATGGAAGTTGTTGTAAACAGTTACTGTAAATCACTGACAAATTTTATGGAGTGTTTTACAATCTGTAAAGAAAGATTTATTGAAGCCTCCTCAAAAAACAAAGGTGAGGAAAATCCTGGGAAATATTGAAAAAGACAACACAAGACTGCACCTGTAATGATAATCAAAGTTGTATTCACTAGAAGACAGTGGAATATACAGGTGATTAAGTATTAATTCAAACATGAATTTCAAATGAAGATACCATTGGTAAGTCAACTTAAAACTATCATTGCAGGATATTCTTTTTTTAAAAAAAGCCAGCCAAAGGAGGAGACCCAGGAAAAGAACATTTCAGAAATGGGCAAGGCTTAGTATTACTGTTGAAGGATCAGTATAAATATGAATCACTGAGACTAAGGATACAATGGGAATTGTCAAATATTGTCATAAAACAATTATCAATTAATTACTAATATATGATGAATACATCCTTATGCTTTTAAAATACCAAGCTTATAAGTGGAAAATTACCAGGTGAGGTAATAAATTACTTTTTGTTGCTGGTTTTTTTTTTTTCTTTTTAGATTTCCCAGATGACAGTCAGTCCTTTGTGGTGTAGGTGTATAACTTGCTTTAAAAATGAATTAAATATAGCTAGGCACTAGTGGTTCATGCCTGTCATCCTAGCTACTTAAAATGCTGAAATCAGTTCAAGGCCAGCCAGGGGCAGGAAAATCCATGGGACTTTTATTACCAATTAACTACCAAAGAGCAAGAAATTTTTGAAGCCATGATTAAAGTGGTAAAATGCTAGCCTTGACCACAAAAGCTCAGGTACGGTAACCAAATACAAATTGAATTTGTAGGAGGAACACACGCGTGTGTGCGCACACACGCACACACACACACACACACACACACAAACACACACACACACATACACACACACACATTAAAAAAAAGAATTTAGAAGGGGATATAATAAGAATAAGGTAGGTTTTTCTAGCTTACATGTGTTAGTATTATCCCCAAAGGGTCATCAGCTCTACCCAGACCTGAGCTCCTCCCTGCCCTGGAGTTCCTGCCATAAAGCTGGCCCCTCCCTCTCTCTGCTCAGACCCACCTGAGCTCCCATCTACCTCACTTCCTCCCCCCAGACTCCCCTGCTACCTGGATAGGGACAGGTGCTATGTGCTCCCTCTCAGGGAAAACATGGCTCCTCTAATGAACCTTATAATAATCTTTCTCCTGTGCCTGCCTTCCTCTGCATGGTCCCCTGGGATGGATGTGAAGGATCCTTCAACATTCTTCTACATTCCTACTGCTACCTTCCTAATCCAAATTATGAGCTTTCTTCTTTTATACCAGCTATGCTGATCTCTCATCCACTTATAGGACCTGCTAGATAAATATTTTGAATTAATCTTGTAGTGGGTAGGTGCAGTGAGACCACTCAGTCTGCAGTGAAAACGTAAAAGATTTTATTGAGTGAAAGGTGCTTAAAGCGCCAGGCCACACCTGGAGTCAGGATCTCAGGAAACTACCCAGAGTACCAACCCACAACAGCTTTTAAGCATTTTGGGCTAGGGCGGGGAATAGGGAAGGTTGGGTGTTGGTTTTAGCCAATAATTGTTACAAGAAATTTGCACCTCAGGTTTAAATTTCCCGCCAAGGTTTTGCTGGCGGGAAGCAGGGGAATAGAACAAAGGATGGTAATGGTTCAGCTGGGTTAGGGCTCACATTGTTCAGAAAACAGCAGAAGAGGAGTTACAGAGTTACAGTTACAATTATAGTTACTAGCTAAAATAGCTAGTTGCCAGGGAAGTCTTATCCACAGCACACTTACTTTTTTATCTTAAAATCATTGATTATCCATTTTACACAATCCAAGTCAAATATTATATTCCATCTTTACTTCCTCCACCGTATCTCATCCTGTTATACACTTCCCTTTCTCAACCTGCTATACATACTGCTTAAAATCTTTCAAAGCCTTATTGTCTCTGGAAGATTTATATCTTTATATATTTCTAAATGACCTGGTTTGTCTGGCCTAATATAACTCTCTTACCTCTTCCTGCATCATGCTTGCCTGCTCTTTATTCCCTGTGTTAAAATTATAGTGGGGAAACTGAGTCACAGCCATCTTCATGCCTGGCCAGGTGCTGGGACTGTTGGTTTCACAGACATCCTGAAGCCTAGCCAGGAGAAGGGGGCTGTCCACACAGCTCTAAGGCCAAAAGGTGAGATAAGTCTTCCTTTAAATTGCAGATGCCTGGCTCAATGGGTTGGGCCAGGAGGGCCCAGCCTGGGGGAAATGTAGATGTGCACACTCAAGTTGTTTAGCCCCAGGGGAGCTCCTAATCTAGTGCTGTGTTTATATATAATACTTTGCTGAGGTTTGGTCTCCACCCAACCTGTGACCTTTGTCTTTAAAGGGTCCATGCAAGCTCTGTTCAAGGCTGCAGAACTTTGTAAATGGCCTTCTGCAGTCCACTAGGGCTACAATAAAGACTCCAAAATTCGGCCTCTCAGTGTGGCTTCTCTATTATCTCATGGCTGGTTTTGAAGCGATAGACTAGGAAAAATGAGGTATGGTCTGCTAATAGCAAATACAGGAGATATTCCTTCATGTACTTCCCTTAAGATTAAAGGAACAAAGTCATTTTGGGGGAAAAGAAGCAGGATAACTTATGGAAACTGAAGTCTGGTGTAGGCAACTAAGAAATATGGTATCTAAAAGCTTAGAAATGCTATCTTTGCTTCAAAGAGAGACAACTGAATGCATTCTTTCCTAAGGGATGCATTTCTCACTCAAGAATTCACAACTGCCAGATAGGATGCCCTAAAATGCAGATAGCAGGATGTCTCCTCCCTTCAAGGATAAGGATCGGTTTTATGGCAGGATGCATTCTTACCTGGAAATTCTGAGCATAACAGAAGGTGTAGTTAAAGCAAAGACAAAGCACCTAGCTTTGCATGACTTAAAGCCAGAACCCCTGCCTTTACCCTATAAGTACCCAACAGCCCAAGGAGCTGTGTCTCTCTGGGTATCTCCTTGTCTGTGTCTGTGTCTATGTCTTTGTGTCCCTATAAAAGCACCCACACTCTGCTAGAGTGTGCCCCTGCCCTTCTGTTTGTCTGCTTTTTTTGTGTATGTTTCCTTGCTTGTTTACTTAATAAAGCTCTGCCAAGTTTTCTTACCATTGTGACTTGTCCAGAAATTCTTAT